TCAAGGCATGGTCCTCTTCAAGGTCAGACTCCATGGGCGAATGGCTACTGGATGGGTTGGCTTAGTGCATGGCAGCCATATGGAACTGGCTTACATTTTTTGCTAATAGGTGCTCGACATGCATGAGCCCTAGGGGTGCACAGCCCCCTACCGCTGGGCTGTGTGGTGTGCAACTCATGTGAAGCCCCTTTGATGTGTGGGCGTTGGGAACGTGTGGCTTGATATCGCGCCGCCCGTGTACGTTGCTACCTTATGTGCGAACAGCTTGTGCGGCAAGACTCGTGTGGGCTTCTGCTGCGCATCCCAATGGTGTTGGGCTAATGTGCATAGCCACCTTCATAAGGTTGAAGTGTGAGCGACTTGTGTGCGCGTTGCCTGCTACTGCGAGGCCTTACGTTGCTAGGACTGTGTGGCCCGGCTCTGCTGGTGTGTCCAACATGCGAATCTATGGAATGCTCACCCAGTGTGCGTGCTGTGCGGCTATGCTAGCCTAGGTTATTGTGCTGGCTGGCCGTGCCGACTGAACTGTTTCAGGGTGTGCTGTCTGCTAGCCTGCGTGCTGCTATTATGGCCCGACCACCCTATCATTAAGGCTATCTAAAACCCCTCTCTTAAGAACTACCTGCCTACAATCCTTAATGAACTCCCTACTCCGATCGTGCTTATAGGCTAGGTAGTAGACGTACATGCTACTAGGTCGGCAGTGGTGGATTGAACTGGTCTTGGGTTTGCAGATTGTGACACGAGAACTACACCTGGCATGCCACCTATCTATTGGCAACCAAAGAGAACAACCATAAAAGCTACCATTCTCCCTCTACCGTCCATGAAAAAAAATAACAACCTTTTCTTTAAACGAAATATCCTAAAGATAAAAAAAATGAGAAAAAGCTTTTGAAAACCCTAAAAAACCTTCTTCACAAGAAAATAAAAAAAAACAAAAAAAAAGCATAAAAGCAAAAAGCCAAGCATCTACCAACCACAAATAACCACAACCAAAGACAATAAAAAAAGTGAAAATAAAAAAAGTAGAGGGGGATATTGTAAGTTAATGGATTTTTTTTCAAAGTTTTTGAGAGATTTAAGGTTTGAGTGCCTAAGGAAATTCACTGTTTGGAGAGATTTGAAATCTTGGAGGAGATTTGGGTGATTTGAGTGATTGTTGGTGATGGGGATAAGTAGAGAAAATTATGGGTAAAGAAAGAAAATAGAGGTGGAACTTGGGAAGAAATGGAGAAAAGAGAGATTAAATAGTTAGGATTTGGGTCATAATCATTCCATTCCATTTAGAATAAGACAATAAAGCCAAATGACATCGTGTAACGAGGGGCTGTGAAGGTGTCAAAATGGTAGCATTTTAAAGCATTTTAAAAGTCTGGTCACCAGGAATAGGTCAAGCCCAACAATAGGGAAGGCCTATTTCTTTTGCTTTTGATTTAATTTGTGGGCTTGAGATCGTTGAGCTTGTTTTGTTTGGTTTGTATATGTTTGAGCCTAGTAGAGTTTAGGAAATAAAGAAATGAAATTAGATTTTTATATAAATAGATTAAGTGAAAAATACAAAAATATAAAAACATTTATCTTAAATATAAGGAATGAAAATTGAAAGTAGGGAAATAGAAAAATTGGGGATAGGTGAAAAAACTGTACTTAGTTTTTTAAAAAAATATATATAGAACGGAAATAATTTTTGGTTATGAAATATATTTAATAAATAAAATATATGTAGAAAAGAAATGAACAATTGGTCATAAAATGTTAAATAAAATAAATATAGAAAAGAAATGAACAATTGGTCATAAAATGTTAGGTAGATATAAAATTTAGGAAAAGTAAATATTTAGTTGTAGAAGTAGATTTATTTAGATAGAAAATATGTGTAGAAAATGAATGTATATTCACATATAGGATATGTCTAGGAAGCAATATACAACATGGGAAAAGATAGAAATGTTAGGCATAATCATAAAATACTTAGTTATGGAAGTTTACATAGATATAAAGTAAGAGTAGAAATGTATTAGAAAAAATTAAAATTAAAATATAATGAAATAAAATATGATAGTGTCAAGTTAATTGAAATAGATAGCTTTATGTAAAATAAGGATAGGTATAAATAGAAAGGAAAAGGAATGAAAATATGACAAGAAAAAAATAGTAAAAGAGTATTGGTATAAAAATGGGATGGTTATCTAGATTAACCCCCGATAATGGAATTTTACCCAAGAAGGCCAAGAGTTGTCATTTTCAAGATGACTTTCCTAGGTGCGAAATTCGATTAAGGTTTTCACTGAAGCACAGGGATAAATTTTAATATCATATTCCAATATCTCATTAATTCAAATAGTCATCTTAAATATTTAAAGGAATAAATTCATAGAATATTTTATATAAAATTAAAATTAATATAGTTATTAATTAACTCAAACAGTTATTACAAATAAAAGATCAATGGAACCAAGTTGTTTATTCAATAAAAGTAGTTTAAAATAATAATAATAGTAATCCAAAAAATATTGATTAGAATAAAATGTTTTTTAAATATAAAGGAAGAACAAAAAAAGTATTTAATTATCTTAAAATATTAAATATATTACTATAGATATTAGAATTGAAGAAATTATTTTATAAACACGTTCATTGCCATCATTCATGATTTTATCTTGACATGGCTTGCAACACATTTATTTGGCTAATGGGTCGAGAACCCCGATAATGGGATTTTCACTAAAGACTTATAGAGATGAGTTCTTTTAAGGATATCCCTAGGTGAGGAAAACTTTTAGACTTCACCAAAGCATTAGGATGGTTTATAAATGATTTTTCCAATGCATGGTTTTTGTTTCCCATTTATGTAAAATTTTAACTTTGGTTTAATAAATTAAAAAAATAAAACAAATAAAATAATAGTAATAATAAACTAAAAAGAAAGATTAAAAGAAACAAGACATGTAAAATGTAGAACAGAATAATGATTAATGATTAAGGAAGCATAAGCAGTTAAAGTTGAAATTGGATAATTTATGACTAAATGGTACTGTTCGTGGAACGAGCGTCTCGAGGGTGCTAATCTTTCCCCATGCGTAACTATACTCTTGAATCCAACTCTAAAAGAAATTGTAGACTAAGTTGTTGTTCTTTAGATGAACCTATAATCAATTTAAGACCTCTTCGAATAGAATGGATTTATTAGGTGGCCAGTTGCACCTAGATAAAAAAGATTGGTGGTAAGTCCTCGAAATTTTCCACGTGGCACATAATGACAATCACGTTACTTAAGTCATATTTTATAACATAACATTTCACTTATAAACAAGAAGCACTATATTTTGTAAAAGAAAATATGTGTTTCGATACTAGAATTTAGCCTTTCATTACCTTAACTATCAAGTACCAATGTGTGGCTACATCATCGTATACTGGACAGTTCATTTGGTGTCCATAACCCGCATACATTTTGCACATATAAGGCCACAAAGCTAATCACATGACATGACTAATAACTGACTACCAACAAAGTGACTATGGGGTGTGGAAGATACTAACGAATGCTTTGATCATTAAGCCTATCATAACATGCACGTGAATCTGTCATGTGTCTATATCTCGAGTCGCTTCAAATTTACACAACATGAGAGTTTAAAAACATGAATACAATTACTTAGTGAGGGATATAGAGCGGAACTATGAAACCCATAATTTCCATGACATAGATAAATTAGCTAGTTAACTTGGTGAGCTTAAGAAATGCTTTTGTTGACTTAAAAACTTTAATTTCATCCTTGAGAATTCACAACTAAGAGTTATGGAGGTTGTGAAAGGGACCTAAAAGGTCGACCCCAATGCATAGAAGGTCGATCTTGTTAAATAAAAAGCAAGTGAAATTGTGCATTTTGGTCCAAGATTGACTATAAACCTTCTCTATAGTCAATCTTATGAAGGAAAAATGGAAAAATATAAACATTCCAGTCCAAGATCGACTATAGTCCCTCTATAGTCGATCTTATGAAGGAAAAATGAGTTAAAAATGGACATTCTGGCCCAAGATCAACTATAAACCCTCTGTAGTCAATCTTGTGA